TGGATTGTGTGTAGCCCAATCACAAAGCATAGCCTACTGTAATAATATAATAATAATATAATAATAATACTGTCACACCCTGATCGGTTTCACCTGTCTTTGTGCTTGTCTCCACCCCCCTCCAGGTGTCGCCCATCTTCCCCTGTGCATTTCTACCTTTGTTCTCTGTTTTTCTGTTGCCAGTTCGTCTTGTCAGGTCTTACCAGCGTGCTTTCCCGTTTTCCTGTTTCTCAAATGTCCTAGTTTTCCCGGTTCTGACCATTCTGCCTGTCCTGACCCCGAGCCTGCATGCCGTCCTATACCTACCTGACTCTGACCTGATTACGAACCTCTGCCTGTCCTGACCCCGAGCCTGCCTGCCGTCCTGTACCTACCTGACTCTGACCTGATTACGAACCTCTGCCTGTCCTCGACCTGCCCTTTGCCTGCCCCGTGTTCTAATAAATTATCATTGAGAATTGTACTATCCGCCTCCTGTGTTTGCATCTGGGTCATATCCTGAGTCGTGATACCTACAGTCGGGAGCGCACAGCAAATCTGTCAGTGAACAGCATGCAGCCAAAACAAGCCTTTCGCAATATTTCAAATACAATCGCGGGAAAACACAGGTTGGTAAGCAAATGGCTCCTGCTGAAAAGAGAAGACTAATCTGTCTGTAGGCTACCAAAATATTGTATCAACTTCCAAATAGGCCTATTGAGTGAACAGCATTGTTTTACATAGTAAAACAAGAGAGAGAAATAGGCTTTTGGCACTAGCGCAACGGCCATCACCGGTGAGTGAGCTGCGCATCATTGGGTGAGTCAGTGAAGCTGGGAAGCTTTTTTAGGACTACAATTTCATATTGTACAATATGTGTGTCTCCACACACCTAGGCCTAGGCTATTGATGGATTCAAGATGAGGTTGTTTTTATTGATCTCAGATTCTCAGTTTGTCAGTGTCAAAGTAGCCTGTCATTTCGATCATTTGTGCGGTATTAAAAAGGATTCTGCTAAAGTCTCCAGTCAAGTAAAATGACGTAGAATTGCATGAAATTAGTTTATAAAAGGCCAAAAAAAATTCTGACCCTAGCCTAAAAATGTTCTTGCCCATGTGTGCAACCTCTGCAAGCGCCTCTACTCTACTACTCTATGCCACTACGCAAATGCGATGATATGCATGCAAAACATACTCTAGTTGGATCAATTTTGATTGGTTTGCATTTTAATGCCACCAATGTGCAAATAGTGATGGTCAAAATAGAGAAGCATTTAGAATGATGTCCTTTTGATCTTGAACAAAATGGTGTAATTAAGCCTGTGTGAGTAAATCATCTAAATAATGGAGGTCTTAGAAGAAAAGAGGCACTATACTCATTTTCAGATACCCCAGAAAAAACGTGAAAACAATGATTTGAGTATAAGAAAACAATGCGAGCTGCTCCTTGCCTTTTCTCCTGTGGTATTACAATACTAATATTAGCTTCAACCTTGGGCGCTTTACAGATTACTCAATCTAGAGCCAATCACAGTCTGTCACTTGGCCACAGCAGCTTGGCTTTCACTCTAATAGAGATGTTTAATACACTACCCATCACATGGATCTGTGTTGGACGATACACCTTCTACATGACTGCCTTCTGAGGGAATGGGGCCCTGTGCTTTTCTGTCTGAGAGAACAGCACTCTATGAGCAGAGAGAGACTGGGAGAGGAGAGTCTCCCCCTGAGGCTCTGCTACCACTGCTTCTATAAAACATTTACACAGGAGTGATCTCATAGGCTATGTTCAGCACATCAGTGACCTAGGACTGTTTTAAAGAGCCAGTGTCTGTCTTTTCCTGAGATACTAGACCGATCTGATGCCAACCTGATGGCTGAAGGGAATTGTATGTGTACACGGTGTACTTTATGTACATTGTGTGTAGCACATAAGCCTGTCTATTGGAATCCATCTCATGTCTTCTGTGGTCTGATACTGAGGCTGACAAACAGCTTTTCCATCTGTATACTGATGCACACCAACCCTCACCAGCAAAATGGTGTAGCTACCTTTGTCCCAACTATTATATGAACACCAACATTCTCATACACTTGTGTGATCCTCAAAACAACTATGTTGGCGGTTCCATTTCTTTTTGCAGGGCACAATTCTCATAGAGTAAGTGATTTCCAGAAGCCCCTCAAAAAATCAATTGCTTTGTGAGAATAACATCAGAAAATTGAGTCAATTTTGTCCCTCTGCAGTTTCAGAAGAAATTCTCTTCACACCCCCATCCAATTTCATACAGGGACCTTGGTCACTCTCGAGATGAGTCGTGCTGCTGGTCTGAAGAGTCTGTGTCTGTCGACTGGTTCTAACCACCACTGTGTTGAATGACTGTCATTGAAACAACTATAGAGCTTATCCATTTCCAAAAAACATACCACAATACTGCTGTTGGATGATTCAGCATCTTGTCTCAGGGGATACTGGCTACAAGTACATGTAAGTGAAATTAGAGCCAAAACCTACATTGAAATAGGCACACAACTTCAACCTTCACGTTTACCATGGGTGTGCAGGACCTTGGACACGTCTTCCTCCTAGATTTACAAGTATTTACCAAACTTCTTCCCTCCAACTTAGAGTGGGCTAAAGCACCAGTCTCTGCTGGCTTAAGAAGCGGTGCAGCCTGTATGCAGTGGAGGGAGGTGGTGAGTTGAGGTGGTGGTGGTGCCGTGCGGCAGGAGCTTAACCTGCAGCCCAGAGACCTTACACTCCATTAATTTGAGACAGGGGGCTGATAGCATCTTCAATTATGCAGATTCCCTGATACATTGTAATTACCTGACCAACTGGTCATATTTAGCATGTTAAAACAGACTGAGAGGAGGTCAGGAATGGCTGTTCTCTTTTTAACACGTGCCTTTCCATCCCTGGTTATCAGAGCCAATGAACATGTAACCAAATACATCGCACTGATCTTGCTGAAGGTGACAGAAGAGAGAAGTTGGAAGGGAATTCATCAGCTTGGTAAAAGTAGGGCATGTATGCATACAGGCACGGAGTGAAGCAACGAAGATGAAAGGGATATGGAGTCAAGATGGCTTATTTGCACTAGTCATCAACGTCATCCATAGATTTAGCTACGGGAACCCACACATGTATTACTATGAGTTGGGTAAACACTGTAGATTTTACAGCCCTGCAGATGGAGAAGTCGTCACTTCTTTGATCATCTCAGGAAGATTCCGTAAAGTAAGAAGCAAAGACGTATGTGGGAATTTCCACTGAGGAAGGGAAGGACCGGCGAAGACGTGTATGTTATATCATGTTTATTTGCATGTGTTGTAGTAGGCAGTCCATGTGATTAAATTTCCTTGAAGTATTAACACATTTTCCAATCTTCAAAAGTGGAGGGACAAATCGCCATAGAGTATAAAGCATCTGTTTTTATAAGAAAACAATCATGAGATGATCAAACACATTGGGTGCATTGCAACCAACAGGCAGAATGTAGCGATGTGCTATGCATTACAGCTGGATTTCTTCAAACGCTAATAACAGAGAGATTACATGCACTAGCGTATTAAAGCAGACTTGCTTGCAACCAAAAACCCACAAGAAAAAACCCAGCAGATCATTTGATCTCTTGTTGTTACCGTGTCAAGTGATTATGACAGCTGCGTCTGTTCTCTACTCCCGCCCCAATGAAATATCGACCTATCAGGAGCACCGGAAATCGTAAGGCTGATGAACGTAAACAAAATCTTATTTGAGTATGAGAATATAGAACTAGTAGGTCTATATTTCATTAAAACGTTTCACCTTAAATTGCAAAATAATATAATATATGCCATTTGAAATAACTATCAGCCTGCATTTTCATTTGATAAAAAAAATATAGATTATAAAACTCAATCAACTTGATTTAGTTACACATTTCGAATAGTCCAGGGATATTTTATCTTGATAAGAAATAACCGAACCAGACCATTTTCTTTTAGAGACAGTTGTATTTAATGGATTACATAAACTGAAAACAAATCAAATGTTAAGAGCTACACCAGCATTAGTTTTCCATTCATACAACGTGTCGGGTAAATTGCCACAGTAGATTTGCTGCAGTAAATGAGGAAACACTTTATTTCAGTTGTACAGAATGATTGTCAAATAGATCAATCGCCCTTAGTCTGTTCAAAAAGTAGGTCCAAGTTGTTTCGATGATAATACCCACCAGATGGCGAAAATATCTTGAAAGACTTTGGTAGCGCGCAAGACTAATGTAACACCGACATCAGCTTTTAGGGAGCGGTAATGTGGTAACCAATAATGGTTGCAATTGAGATCAGCTGTGCGGGTGAATTTAGCACGTATTGATGGTTTAACGAGAGATCAGCTGGGAATAATATAGTGGCCATCGATGGTTGGAATTGGCCCCATGTGTTTTACTAGAGTTAACACCATGGCCTGAAACATCAGTGTGGCCTGCAATCAGCAATGAATATTATGGCCTACATGATGAATAGCACTACTTATGAGGGTCTCTGCTCATGAAAAATCACTCATGCATTCTTGGCAGTGAGACAAACACAGCTAGGGGGCGTTCTGTATTTTCATACCAATACACAGTAGAGACTGACCAAAAGAAGACAAAAGCATACAATGATTTGAGTATGTCAGTGAAAGTAAGTCCCTGGATCGGACACTTTCTGACTTGCTAACTGGTTGAACGCTGCACGTACTGTATATAACTACAACCACTTAGCAAGTCGGAAATTTCCGAGTGTCCTAGTTCCGACTAGCACGTGAACGCAGCATCCGTACCTATGACTAATACCTCTACACAAATTACAGCAGACAGTCTGTCTAACAGTATGTCATCTCTCAATGTGTTGGAAGATTTCATTTTTTGCAACAAAATAATTAAGCTGTCACAAATACCTCACAGTTCAACCAAAGTGCACAAAATGAAAAGATATTCTGCCAGTCTTGGAGGGAAACGGTTCAATAGAAGGTGTTTGTTATCAATTCTATTATTCTTCTATTAGAATCCTTTGTGTACCTTCACAGTATGCGTTGTCATCTCGGAGCGGGTGGAAGCCATCCTTGCAGCTGCAGCGGGCCCCAGCCTCCAAGTTGATACAGTCAGAGTGCTCCACACAGCCGTGGCCCTCCGCACAGAAGTCATGACCTAGGGCACAGAGGTCAGAGGTTACACACAGGTCACTCCTCTCAGACTGGTTTTTTTTTTTGCAATGGTTCCTGTAATTATTTGCTGATTCTTTTTAGGTTTACATCTGTAATGTAGAGCAGTGGTTCCCAACCTTTTTCGGTTACTGTACCACCAACTGAATTTTGCTCTGCCAGGAGTACCCCTGAAGTACCCCCTCATCTGTATGTTACCAGTAGGCCTATGGTCTCATGAGTCTTCTCAAGTACCCCCTGTGGATAGGCCAAGTACCCCCAGGGGTCCTAGTACCTCTGGTTGGAAACCACTGATATAAAGTTTTACGTTTTAATGTCACTTCCACAAGTACAGTGAAATGCCTTTATAGGCAGGTATGTGTATTTTTCAATACCTCTGCAGACTTTGCAGCACCTGTCGGTGAGGTTGACCTGCTCGGACTCTGGACAGTTGAGCTCAGGACAGGGGGTAGTCACGACGACCTGATGCATAGTCGTGTCCTAGTAACAAGGAAACAATGAGAAACAATATGAGACACAACCTCATAAGGGTTAGATTAGCTCAGCTGCTGGTTTCCCACAGATTTGATAAGGCTAGAATTTAATCAGAGGCAATTAGGCATCCATTGTGTGCTTCCCTCTCCACTGTGCACAACTTCCCAACTAAAGTTACATAATGATGGGTCAATAGCAGTAACGTATACATATTTCAGTTTAGTTTAGCGCTGCTGCGCTGTAGTAAGACTCTGCATGTCGATTCACTTATCTATTGAGGTTTATGATAACAAATTGAACAGAGAAGGATATGAAACCAGTGTAATTGTCCCCGATTGTGTGATTAGACAGAGTAAATGTGATTAGGGAGCTCCCTCTCCCACCAGCTCTTTAACATCCATCTTCAATGCCCTGGCTCCTCTCCGCTCTGCCTACCTGACTGATGCTGATTCATGATCATTAACATCATTAACACACGACCGAGAAACACTCAACCAGAGAAAACCAACCTAATAAACCAACTCAGAACACATCTATGACTAGCTACGTTCCACACAAGGCTAGCTCAGCCACTATAAAGATAAATCAAATAGTTGTATCTCTATGTTAGTCAGCCCCCCCCCCACCCCCCACCCAAAGAAAACTCCCAAAACCAGCAGCTTAATCGTCTTATTAGGTAAAATATCTTGAAAGATACCTTTAAATAAGATATATTACTTGTATTAAGCCATTTTTAGGTTTATATAAGAAAAAAACGAAAGAAAAACAATTATCACTCAATATAAGATATTTAGGCTTGCTTACCCAGAACGCCGGCCTGCCTGAGACTGTGGGACCAGGATGACTGACACTATCCCCATTACACAGTCCTTTGATCTGCAGCCTATGTCTGTGACTGTGTCTGTGTCTATATGTGTCTGTGCCTGTAGCTATATAAGAAAGCAGTTTCAGTCACAAAGCAAGGGCTGCCAACGGGCCAGGTGTGTGATCTCAACATACAGCCATCAGTCTCACACTGCACAATCTATATGGTCATACAGGAATATAGGAGATATATTTGATGATGATTGATCAAAACATTGATTGTCATGCTGTGACGGTTTGGTCCCCTCCTGGAAACTCAATTACTCAGTTCTGCCCATTTACTTTCCCCATAGAGAGCATAAGAAAAAACAGATCAATAAATGTAGCTAATGTTGACGGCCGACTGCAGTCTCTCATTCAGGCTTGATTTAGCCTCTGGCCTGAGGAGAGCAGCTCTAGTCTGGAATCACTATTTAATGAAGCTGTCATACACCCTGTGATGGAAATTAATACACTGTAAGTGCTTGGTTGCTTGAATTATTGTGTATTTTCATGGAGGTGTGGGAGTTTGTTTAAACCAAGTAGTGCTGTAGGTAGAAAAACACCAATAGTATGTTTTCATGAGGGCTGTAGTGTACTCACCCTGCACTCGTACAGCTGGCATCTGCCAGAGTTGTCACGCACCGCTTTCTGATCTCCCTCCACCAACTCTTCTTTTTTGAACAGGCATACCGCTGGAAATAGACATACACAGATACACACACAAATGGCGTGCGCACAAAAAAAAGGCAATATTCAGTATACTGTGGTAGTCTGTGGCAACCTGCTGTGGTGAAGCCACATAGGGACAGACATGAAAATCTTTCTTATCAGAAAATAGAATGGGAGCATTGGACTTCAACATCACTTGGTATACAGTATGACTGTGGGAAAGGCGATAATCTTACTTGGGCAGAAAATCATATTAAATATGTCAGTTTGATGTGGAGGTTTGAGTGGATAGGCTACCTGGTTATCAGAATTGTTGGAGGAAAGCACTATATAGGCCAAACCCTAAACCCCAAGCAATTTTACCCATCAATCAAACTGTGAATTATTATATCTGCACAAGAACTAGTCAAACTGAATAAATTGATTACCAGGAAAAGCATTGATGAAGTTTTGAAAAAGCTATTAAACATTGCTCTTGACAACTCATCAGAACCAGAACCTAGCTCCCTGCCTCCCGCTCCGTGAGGAGGTAATGTACAGTAGGTGAACAGATAAGGTTTTAATTTGGAAAGGGAGTCTTCCTTTGTGTCTCTAACACCAAAGCAAGCTTAATGAGCCCTGTCTTTGTCTACCTCAGTGCTGTACACAGAGACGGCAGAGTTAAGGAGGATTTATACCAGTGTGTTGATGTCAGATTAGGATGCTTACAGGCCTTTCAACCCCCTCCGTCCGTCACAACGCAGTGCAGAGTTGGGTAGGGAGAGGGAGTGTTTATGCCAACACAGCCTGATTAGCTAGCTAAGCTAATGGATTCCCTTTGATAAAGAGTCAAACTGAATATGGTATGAAGAGTTTGACTGAGTCTGATTCCCATGGATCAGCTTGGGAGTGTTTGTGTGTGTGTTGATGACGTGTGTGTGTGTGAGTTTTGCAGTGAGTTTAAAGTTAATTCAATTTACAATTGAGAAGATGTACTGTGCAACCCAGGCCTCTAAAAATATATATGTCATACAGCGAAACCAGCTCTTCTTAATAACAAGAGCCTTATTGAGACCAAACATAACGTTAAGAGAACCTTTGAATGTGTGACATACAGCATGCATATTTAAGAGGAATGTATTCTCAGGGACTATAGTGCTCCTATTGCTATTTAAAGGTAAACACATCACTCACTATGGATGTCATTTCTGCCAATAGGAAAGAAATGTGGAGGTGAATAAATCTAATATTCTTTGAAATCCATTTCTTTGTTGAAAAGAGAAATTGAGAAAGATATGAGTGATAAGGCCCTGTATGGCTTGCGAAAGTATTCACCCCCCTTGGTATTTTTTCCTATTTTGTTGCCTTACAACCTGGAATTAAAATTGATTTTTGGGGGTTTGTATCATTTGATTTACACAACATGCCTACCACTTTGAAGATGCAAAATATTTTTTTGGGTGAAATAATCAAGAAATAAGACAAAAAAACAGAACATTTGAGTGTGCATAACTATTCACCCCCCCCCCCCCCCCCCCCCCCCCCCCCCCCCAAAGTCAATACTTTGTAGAACCACATTTTGCAGCAATTACAGCTGCAAGTCTCTTGGGGTATGTCTCTATAAGCTTGGCACATCTAGTCACTGGGATTTTTGCCCATTCTTCAAGGCAAAACTGCTCCAGCTCCTTCAAGTTGGATGGGTTCCGCTGGTGTACAGCAATCTTTAAGTCATACCACATATTCTCAATTGGATTGAGGTCTGGGCTTTGACTAGGCCATTCCAAGACATTTAAATGTTTCCCTTTAAACCACTCGAGTCTTGCTTTAGCAGTATGCTTAGGGTCATTTTCCTGCTGGAAGGTGAACCTCCGTCCCAGTCTCAAATCTCTGGAAGACTGAAACAGGTTTCCCTCAAGAATTTCCCTGTATTTAGCGCCATCCATCATTCCTTCAATTCTGACCAGTTTCCCAGTCCCTGCTGATGAAAAACATCCCCACAGCATGATGCTGCCACCACCATGCTTCACTGTGGGGATGGTGTTCTCGGGGTGATGAGTGGTGTTGGGTTTGCGCCAGACATAGAGTTTTCCTTGATGGCCAAAAAGCTAAATTTTAGTCTCATCTGACCAGAGTACCTTCTTCCATATGTTTGGGGAGTCTCCCACAAGGCTTTTGGCGAACACGAAACGTGTTAGCTTATTTTTTTCTTTAAGCAATGTTTTTTTTCTGGCCACTCTTCCATAAAGCCAGCTCTGTGGAGTGTACGGCTTAAAGTGGTCCTATGGACAGATACTTCAATCTCCACTGTGGATCTTTGCAGCTCCTTCAGGGTTATCTTTGGTCTCTTTGTTGCCTCTCTCATTAATGCCCTCCTTGCCTGGTCCGTGAGTTTTGGTGGGCGGCCCTCTCTTGGCAGGTTTGTTGTGGTGCCATATTCTTTCAATTTTCTTATAATGGATTTAATGGTGCTCCGTGGGATGTTCAAAGTTTTGGATATTTTTTTATAACCCAACCCTGATCTGTACTTCTCCACAACTTTGTCCCTGACCTGTTTGGAGAGCTCCTTGGTCTTCATGGTGCCGCTTGCTTGGTGGTGCCCCTTGCTTAGTGGTGTTGCAGACTCTGGGGCCTTTCAGAACAGGTGTATATTTACTGAGATCATGTGATACTTAGATTGCACACAAGTGGACTTTATTTAACTAATTATGTGACTTCTGAAGGTAATTGGTTGCACCAGATCTTATTTAGGGGCTTCTTAGCAAAGGGAGTGAATACATATGCACGCACCACTTTTCTGTTATTTATTTGTTTGAATTTTTTAAAAGAAGTTATTTTTTCATTTCACTTCACCAATTTGGACTTTTTTGTGTATGTCCATTACATGAAATCCAAATAAAATCCATTTAAATTACAGGTTGTAATGCAACAAAATAGGAAAAACGCCAAGGGGGTTGAATACTTTTGCAAGGCACTGTAGGAGGATAATAAGAATGCAGCGCTAGCTTCAGAGTCTGATAGAAAAACATTCTCTCTGTGTAGATACGTGTTGAAACAGAATTATTTATCTGAAAAGAACACATCCACGGGCTAAGCGGTTATTGATCAAATAAAACATACAGACATTTATCTTAATGTTTCATGGTCCGCTCAGCCAGACACAAGGCTACTCCAACAGCATCCATTTCATGTTTATCCGTTCTCCAGATAAACATGTTTTTCATGTTTTAATTCCTCAACTTCAAACAAGTTTTTTTTTCTATCTGAAAGTCCAAGACGAGCTCCTCCGGCTCATACAGTTGCATCATCCTGTCTAGTGTAAACAGGAACTAGTTAATCTCACATCCTGCGACCCCTGGTGTCTGGTTCCCATTTGTGTCAACGTGGCCACCTGTGTTGAGAAGCTGGCTGTTGAATAATGTATATGCAAAAGGATGGAGCATCTCAGGAGGCGTGTTGGGGAGCAGCTTAGCAATGCAGAGCTGTGGTTAGTTGTCAAGCAGCCTTTGTGGAGTGTTTATGTGTGTATGTGTGTGCATACGCATGTGTCCATCTGTGTGTGTGTGTGTGTCCGTCCATCTGGGTGCGTACGTCCATGTGTGTACGTCCATCTGTGCATGTGTGTGTGTTAAGACATTTCACTCACGTTGGCATGCCATACAGCAGGCGCCCTTCATGTAGGCAGGCGTGGTGCCCGCTGGGCACTGAGGGGGAGGGCAGGAGATGATCTCACACTGCACTGTGCCATTCTGTGGGAGAGAGAAAAGACAGGAAGTCACTGAAATTGACAGGCAACAGTATTAAACACAACCTTCTTCCACAGGCGTCAATTGGGACTTTAGGACCATGCGGACGCCTGGCAGCGGGAGAGACGGCTGTTTGTAATGTCTGGCTCGCTTTATGCAGAGCAGAGATCTGTATATAATGATGAGAGGCTCATGTCTCTGCCCTAACAATGGGAGTCGTTGTCCCAAAGGCAGGAAGGCAGGCGACAAGCTTAGGTCCAAAATTATCCAATAAAATGCATTGGGCTTATTTTGGACAGATTTTGGTGAGAGTGAAACCTCTTGCATTGCCTCTTCCTCTCTGTGGAAGAGCACATCTACACAGCTACAGGGACCAGCGGGACTTTTTCTCAACACATTGCAGAGGTAAAGATGGCTGTAGTAGATGGCTTTGGCTAGGTAAATGCTGTTTGACTTGACTTGAAACTAAACTAAAGTTTTAATCCCGGTGCTGAGCTAGTGCATAGCAGGCAGCTAATTCTTGTATGACATGTGTTTGTAGAATGGTAAGTCTCCTATTGACTGAGGTGAATGAAGCTACTGCTACACAGTGATAATGGCTGGAGTCAATTTTGCTTGTTTTGCTATTCTCCAAATTGCATTTTAGAGTTTTTAAATGAGCGTCCATTTTTTTAAATATTCCCCCCCCTCCCCCCCCCCCCCCCCCCCCCCCCCACTCCCTGTCACTTTGCCATACCCTAGGTTAAGCTGAAATGATGCCCCTACCTTCTTCCCATAGAGTCTCTATAGGAGAGGTCAGAGGAATATTCAGTTTTAAGGATTTAATAAGTATGAGGTGCTTTTATCTCTAGCTCTGTAACTCACCCACATTCCTGCCCGAGAATTGAACTCTACTCAAAGAAACCTGGATTTGACTCATCCACTATAATTGATACCATCTTAATGTTGTGACCTTTTAGTTTGAAAGTTCACGGCTAATTGCCACCCATAAGGTAACGAACATGTCTATCTAATGGCGTAATTGCAGTCTGCATCGGGGACGCGACAAGTCTATGAGAACCGACGATTCATTGGACGAGCAGGGTGGAACAAATCGCAGACGATAATGATCATCTGTCGAGAGTAATTAGGTGCAGTATAGTGAAAGAAATGTACATTTACTCACATTACACCAATATAATGTACTGAGCAATATGGGATCTCCTCATAGTATACCTCATCTGCTGGTGCAAAGCCACAGATCCACTCCGTTGGCTCATTCGAGGAGTTCATTGTAGGGATGTGCACGGTTATTTTTCG